CCTTCCCACCCAAACCATTCTGGGATTTGCCATCTGATTAGACAAATATTTTTAGATGAGATTTCTTGAATGCATTAAAGAAGAGAAAGCAAAACAAAAGGAAATGCATAACTCTATCATTAACTGGGATCTTAATATAGTAACAAGTATGCAGTGCAATGAATAATTGAGTTAATAACTTGTGATTGTTCTGCAGACTGTAAATAAAGTAAAGGTGCCTGCTATCTTAACACCTTAGTGTATCAGACTTTGCAGGAAAAACTGGTAATTAATGTTAGTTTTCTTTTGAAGGTTTCCTTAGGTACTTCTTTCAGCTTTGAAAAGCGTGTATGTGACTAAAGAACATATAAGCTGAAAATAAAAACCTCCGTGTAGTTCTGTTCCTTCTGCAATTGCCTAAGTATTTGCAGTTCAAAATACTAACCTTTTATGGCTGCTTTGATCACTGCTACCACTGTAGACCTCAGCTGATTAATTCAGGATATATGGTATGTTATGCAAATATCACCTGTGTGTGTTTTCCCACAATTGTCACAGGTCTCATTCAAAGACATGTGTTGCCACTTAAGATATTTTCATATTGCAATTGCATAAAAAGTAAGCTAAGCGTAAAAAATTACACAGTAATGTGTTCTGATGTCTGACGAAGTCTGGAGTGCTGGCTTTTGGTTCAAACAGCATGGTCAAATCCTTAATTTAAAGAAAAAATACATAATTGTTTTCAGAGAGCTCTGTATGGAACACAGGAATTAAACACGCAGAAACCATTCTGTAGTTATCTGGAATGTGTTTTTTCCTTGAATCTGTAGTTCAGATAGGCAAGAGAGAAATACCTGGATCAGTAGTAACTGTTGGTTGTAGGGGTTATTTAATTACTGGAGCTGAACGCTCCTGTGTGCTACAAATGAGAATCTCCCTCTGGTTCCAGAAGATGCTCTCCTGCTTCTCACAAAAAAGTGAAAATTCAGCAAGGCTTGATCCGTTAGATCAAACGTGTTGATGTACTTGCTAAATTGGAATATATGAAGTGAATGTGGTATTTGAACACATCAGTTTCATACATGTATGAAGTTTGGGCGCTGGTAATGACAGTATATTTTAGTGTGCCCTTTTATTACCTCTAATCTTGCTTTATCTCTCGTTATTGGTTTACATAATTTTGTTCTTTTTTACCTCCATGTCTTAGAATATGTAAGGTACATTTCAGCCCTACTTCAGGCTTTGCATGGAAACATGAGCTGATTCCAACCCAAATTCTTCAGTCACACAGAACCGAGACTGCCTGAAGTCATAGCAATAGCTCTGGAAAAGGTTCAGAGTGGGAATTCTGTGCGCTAACGTACAATGGCTGAATCTGTGAATGGGAGTCAGCCTTGGGATGAAAACAGAGAGCATGCCCATATGTACAGAAATCGCAACTTTTTTAAAAACATGGGTGAAGAGTGTTCAGAATTAGAAAGGAGGTTGGGTTTATTTCAAGTATAGTGCAGAGCTAGCATTTTCTTGCACTGTGAGGCACAGCTCTGCATACATTAGGAAAATAATAATTTTTCATTCAGTTTAATGGTGGCCCTCATTTGCTCTTGCTTGTTGTCCCCCAGCCTGTCTCAAAGAAATATTGGCATAAATAAATAGGAAGAAAGTTGTAAATATTTTAGCTATTGTGCATGTCCAAATATTTTTCTTATGCTTTTAATGAATAGGGTGGAAGACCACCTGCAATTCAACCAATTGTTAAATAGGCTTGATTTTATATGAGAAAAATCTTGCCTGAGCAAACACATTAGTTAAATCTGCGAAGCATTTTATTTTAAGTAGACTTCAGCAACTGGTCTTGGCAATTTGTTTGGAAAGAAAAGTTAAATTATTTAAAATATGCTTGAATTCTACATTTAGATGGCTGCTTCTGGAGCCAGTGTAGTATCTGCCAAATATTTAATTTTGGTTAATGATAGCAGTATTCCTTGTTCTGTGTTGAGTTTTAAATGTCATTTTGTTGCTAGGATGCCGGGGGAAGTCATCACAAAGTCTCTGTTTCTCCGGTCGTCCATGTCCGAGGGCTGTGTGAATCAGTTGTGGAAGCAGATCTTGTGGAAGCTCTTGAAAAGTTTGGAACCATATGGTATGTCAAATAGTATAAAGTCATGCCTGCAGACAAGTTAGGAGCATTTATTTAACAGTCTCTTGGACCTCTTGAAATACATGATGATAGCCATAATTTTATGGCTGTGTATACGGCAATGTATTTATTAACTAATGCTACTAGTTAATAGTAAAGCGTAAAGATGTTCTAGCTGTGTGCAGATTCCGTGTTTCTGTATGTGGCAAGTCTGGTCAAGCGGAGTTATGCTGACTGCATGCCCTAGTGTCTGCCATCAGGCTTAAGTAGCACAGCTTGTCCCGGCCTTAATACGAGCTAGGGGTAAACTGAGTCGCCGAACAGCATCAACGTGGTTGTCTTGATATAAGTGAACATACCAAAAAAAAAAAGAACGGGCCACAGAGCAGATGCTTTTCCCTATGGTTTCATATGGGAGGAGTGCTTGTGGTGTGGTAGGACTTTCAGAATGAGGTGGGTATTCAGAGAAAGCCCCATCGAAGGTCATACAGTCTAAAGATTCCTCATCTGTGAACAAAATACTAGAGGTGAATGGGTAGGGCCAGCTTGTTCTGAGTTTTAAATGCTTCTTTTTGGAAACATGCGTTTGATTTCAAGTAAATGCATGTATTGAAGTCAAATAAGGTTTGGTAAATAGCGCAGTAGTATTTTTCATGGCTTTAATATTCAGATAATTGAATTATACTTGTACAAGTATCTTAAAATGAAGCAAGCACAAGCTTGTTCAGGAATACAAATAGGTGTGTTTTAGCTTGAGAGTTTTAGTTTTCAAAAACTTCATCAGCTGACAAAGCTTCTTGAGTTTGGCTGTGTCTCAATTTGGTTAATTAGAATACGTCTTTATTTCCTCTAAGGTAGTTTTGTGTCAAAATAGTTTTTTAAATTTCTTAGCAACAGCAAAGATGGTTAGCGTATCAACTTTGAATGTGTTTTATAATTTAGATTTACTTTGATCCTTTACCTCAAAAATGGCTTTAGCAATTTTTTTAATAGTAATTCAAGTAAGTTAGTAAATTGTTAACTGTCTGTTACATTGATTGAATGTTTTTATGCATTAAACTTTTTCAGGAAAACAACTGCTTGTTACTGATTTATCTTATCGCCACATTTCTTTGTTTTGTGCAAATGTGTTGACCAGGTTTGGGAAGTGTGAGCAGGGAGACCTACCTTCCTTTTATGTCCTTGTTAGGAATTGTGTAGAAAAAAACATATCACATGTGACAGTTACGGGACTTTGGGGTTGTTTTGAGTAAGCATAGAGGAAAACTTACTGTCATGTTTCTCTCACCAGCTATGTCATGATGATGCCATTTAAGCGCCAGGCTCTGGTGGAGTTTGAGAATGTCGAGAGTGCGAAGAAATGTGTAACGTTTGCAGCAGATGAGCCTGTATACATTGCTGGACAGCAAGCCTTTTTCAACTACTCAACAAGTAAAAGGATTACTCGGCCAGGGAACAGTGATGACCCATCTGGTGGAAATAAAGTTCTCCTGTTGTCAATTCAGAATCCTCTCTACCCAATTACTGTGGTATGTTTCTTTTTTTCTTCTTTTATTTTTTTTTTCTTTTTAAAACAAAACAATAAAAGGCAGGGAGCAGCAATCTCTGTTATTTCCGTTGTATACTATTTGTTAAAATTGTACACTGTTCATTTGGGTCAGGAATTAAATTCACCTACCAAAGCGCTACACCATCTTCACATAATAATTTCCAGAACATACATGGTCTGGAAAAAAGGGTTTTTGAGATGATGCAGTCTCGTTGTACAGATATTTTGCAATACATGTGAAGACTTCAGTGGTCAGGATTTTGAAATGTTTAAGTTGCTCCATGCTTCTGAAATATTTTCAAATGTGTTACCACAACATCAGGAATGTCATTTAGCTTTTAGGCTCTGAGTGGTGTATGTTTAAATAGCAAGTAACTTTTCCAGTAGGAGGGGTTATTTTATTGCAGTCCTTCATTCTTAAGTATTTCCTTTGTGGAAAGCTGAAACCTTCATCTGTTGATGATCAACTCCAGTTTGATGGAATCTTCCTCGCTTTCATTTGGGCTGATACATTTTACTTTTCAGTATTTCTAGTCATACAGTTGCATCTTAACTTATTGCCATCTATTTATGGCACATGTGCATTTTTTTTTCATGATACAGATATTTTTTGCTAGTATTTAAGAACGTATGTTTTCTCATGCATTGAGTGCTTACATTTTTCATAGAGATTTTGTAGTACATGTTGAATTGCACAGAAATATTTCAGGAAAAATGTAAAAAGTCTGCTTTTATCAGAGCTGTAATACTGTGTTACAAGTGTAAGTTACTTGTTCTTAGGGAAATACAGAGGGTAGTGTGGCTCAGTCAAGGTGTTTGGGTTGTGTGGAACCATGTGACTTAATCCGAGTATTAAATTTTGTTTAATGTGCTGTATATTATGTTAGCAAATTGATTGATACTTAGTATTGCTGAAATGACTTCAAGCAGTCCGTTCCATATCATGCTTTTTGCTTCACTATGTTGTGAGTATTGTTAGGTTTTCACCTGTTGATTCATTAGTGGATGATGAATTTTCTTTCTCCTGTCAGTTTTCTTTATAGAAAAGCATGGCAAGGTAGGAGTTGCTTTTTCATCAGTGTTTAAAAATTTACCCCTGCTTTGAGCTGTGTGAACAAATCCACTAAGTTCAAGTATTGGTTACATGTGACTATAATACAAATTTGTTTTTCACGCATTTTAAATCAGGCTTGCATCAGCAGCTGAGTTGAAGGAGATGTTTGGGGAAGCTGGGAGCAGAAGCATTGTTCTTCCAGGAGAGTTTCCTGGAAATTCTGGGGATGCAGCCTCTAGCCCAGCAGCTCCTTTCTGAAAACAAACCTGAAATTACTTGCAACCATCAGCGCTCTTTGAAGATAGTGTAAAGTCATAGCAACGAGGAAGAAGAGTTGCACCCATAACAGCGAGGAATGTGATGAGAAAAATAAAAATTTTGCACTTGGACAGTGTGTGAAAGAAACAGTTCAGAATGCCTCAGGCAAAATCTGTATCATTAAAAAACAAAAAAACACAAACAAACAAACCCCAAAACCACAAAGCCCAACACCACCTCTTCCTCTTCAACACTTTTCTCCCTAGAAATTTGAACTACAGTTAGATGAAATAGATGAGAAATTGCAACCAGTTTTAAGTGGCAAGTCTGAGTAACTGCAACAAACTTTACCGTCGTACTTAGTTTCCTTATTCGTGGGCAGGATTTTTGTCAGGAGCAGACAGATTTCTGTGTTCAAACAGCCCTTCTCCAAGTCACCCCTGCTGCTGCAGTTGTTCCTGGCTGTTCATCTCTAAGTCTGCTTTGCCTCTTTCTTCTCCCTTACCTTCTAAACCTCTCTGTGTGCACAAGGAAGGTGTGACATGCTTTGGCAATTGAAATGTTTTCAATTTAACTATCAACTTTTTCTGAGATTAAGTTGCTGCGCCTCCTTTTTTTTATGATATTCTAGTATGTGTATAATGCTGGTGTTCATTTTTTATTTACAATCTTCCACATACTGTATCTTGTGAATCACTTGATTGATTTGGTAAATCTAAAGTAGCTGAATTAAAAAAAAAAAAAAATCAAGCTCCATGTTTGAATGCTGGCTAGTGACACCGATGGCATTTTGACTAGAGCTTACATTTTGAAAGACAGATTTTTTTTTTTTTTTAATTAAGTGGCTGTGAAGAAATCTTTTGAGAGACAAATTGTGAAAAAGTCGTAGGTGTGAAAATTAATGTCATCTGGAGCTGGAAAGTTTTCAGGACTTTTTTCTCCTTAACATGAGGAGATGGAAGGCAGCTGTTTGTGCTATTGAGTGTGCATAGAAAATATACCTATAAATGATCTCATAAATCTTACTTTTTAGGGGTTCCGACCGCTTGAGTCCTTTCTAAAAATGCCTAGCTTCTGAAAAGCTTAAGGTTGACAATCTCTTCTGCTTGCTTCATTTAGTGAACACTCCCTGGAGTGTCTGGAGTAAGGCCCCTGAGCATGGACAATATTTTTGGTTTGTTGTGGGTTTTTTGTTTTTTTGTTTTGTTTTGTTTTTTAGCAGTAATGTGCCCAAATATTAAAGCTTACAGTACTTGATATAAGCCAGGAGTTACACCACTGCAGCTGTAGCCATCAGTAAGACATCCTCTTTTTCTAGTTTCTTGTTGGGGGGCTGGGGTGGGGTAGGTGGGGGGTATGTTTGTTTCGTTTTTAAGAAATCCAGCATGCCCTCCACCCCTTTGCCTGCCAATTGCTTCGCTATTCTGCAGAACATAATAATAAATGCTGTATATCTGCTTCCTTTCCCCCTTCTCCCTTTTGTCCCCCAAATAAACCTGAGGATGTACACTAAGATCTTGGAATGAGCATTTTGGAAGTATTTGCTGTAGATATAAAGAAAGGAAGGTAAAAATAGGTTGCGGAAGAGTGTTTCGCCAAGATGTAAGTGCATTTGCCTGCTAGGTTTAGCTGTGAAACTGGCTGTTGAGTAAAGCTTATGTGCTTTCAGCTGTTTGAACATGATCTAACAGGTGAATTGCTTCAAGAAATCACAGTTCCTGGGTGTTTAGGTTCTCAAGCCTCAGTCTTGGGAATTCTGAGTATGGGTGTGTAATCACTCGAAAATAAACTTATTTTTCTTGGCCAGATTCATGCTGGGGACTAGATTCTGGTACCATGATGTCTATGTGTAATTGGCTCTTGTTTGAGATACTCCTAGCACCACATCATAAGCCTGGCTTGATGTGCAGTAAGGCGAGCTTTTCTCTGTACTGGTTCTCCTGCAGCACTGAAGATGGTCTTGAATTTTATTGGTTTCTTGTAATATAGATAAATGCTGGTGAAAACAGAGCATTAACAGCGAGTTTGCATGAATCCAGTGCTTTCTGTCAGAAGTTTTCTCTGCCTTAAGTGGAGAAGTACAGCAACCACTTGCAGTGTCTTTGGTTCAGGTGAATACGATTGAAATTCCACTTTTGATGAGCTCCCTAAGCGTACACCGTGGACTACCCCTGGGTACTCTTCTGAAAATTAACATGAACAGTTAAACTCTCAGCTGCTGGAGTCTTAGGAAATGAAATGTGCTATAGCTACAGTGTCACTTTGTCTTTCTTGGCTTTGGTATGCTGTCGTGAATGTATAAATTGTATAGGGAAGTTACACATGAAAAGTTAACAAGCCTTTTCTTTGCTTTTTGGCATTTAAATGCCAGTGAAAGAAAATGTTCTGTGGGCCTAAAGTGTTTGAAATTTCACATCTGACAAAAATATTTTTTTCTTCTTCCTTAGGATGTCTTGTATACTGTGTGCAACCCTGTTGGAAAAGTTCAGCGCATTGTGATATTCAAGAGAAATGGAATACAAGCTATGGTTGAATATCCTTTTTGGGTGTGGGGGTTTTTTTCTGTAGGTTCTTGACTGCAGATGAGATTTAACATGAGAATGTCAGAAAAATACTGTGTAATTCTGAGACCAAATTATTTTTTAATTTCTATCTGAGACATGGTAGTTTCTAATTTCTATATGTTTATAAGACAAAATAGCACTTACACATTTCATCTCTATAGGAAAATGACATGGTCAACAATGGTTTTGGTTTACAGGTGGCCCTAAGGCTAATTGCAGACAGGAAATATGTCAGATATGACAGTGCATTATACACAAAAGTTTCGTGGCTTCTGCCTGTGCTGATACTCAAGAAATGGGTATGGGATTGCAGAGGTACAGTTTGACTTCTTCAGATTCTTCTGAAATCGTTCTAATATAAACTGCTGGTCTTAACTGTTCTGACTTTAATAAAGCACAAGACCAACTTAGGCCACCTTGACCTGTTTGTCATCTGTTGAGGAAACTCCCCACTCTGTTATCCTACTGTTTACTGTATTTGTAGCATTAAGTTTTACATGGGATGAATGTTCAGAGTTGTTAATTTGTTACTGCAGTTTGCAAAGTCCAAAGTCTGATATGATTATGCCTTAGTTTATGAGACACTGATAGCCCTCTTCCTAGGGACTGGTTACCCTCCATTTCTGAGCTGTTACCTGAATAAAATGGTACCAAAAGCTCAGAAATTCTCTTGTGATTTCAGAAGCTACTGGTGTGGCAGGCTTCATTAGTGGGTCACTTCTGTAACGTGTGACTTAACTGGTGGTTTGCCAGGCAGAAGGAATTACCCTGACTTCAGTAAATGCAAACTAATTGCTGTTTCTCTATGTAGAACACTTAAACTGTGTGTCCTAACAGAGAGTAGTTTGACTTACTATGACAGTGTGTTGAGTTTGTGGTAAGCAGTATTGTCTGGATCAGGTGACTCGTACAGCTGGAGATTATTCTGCATCTTGTGAAAGATTAGGGAAGTTGTGGGGAGGATCCTGCACATACTCTGAAACTACCATACTTCTGTCCTTCAAATTAAATTCTGCAACATGCCTTTTATTAAAAACAAAAACAACCAGCAACTGAAATCTAGAGAAGAGGAGGCTGAGAGGAGACCTCATCACTCTCTACAACTGCCTGAAAGGAGGGTGCAGTGAGGTGGGTGCTGGGCTCTGCTCTGAAGTGACAAATGATGGGACAAGAGGAAATGGCTTCAAGTTACACCAGGGGAGGTTTAGGCTGGATATTAGAAAAAATTCTTCACTGAAAGAGTGATGAGGCATTGGAACAGGCTGCCCAGGGCAGTGGTGGAGTCACCATCCCTGGAGGGGGTCAAGAAACGTGTAGATGTGGTGCTGAGAGACACAGGTTAGTGGGTTGGGTGGGGTTGGGTTGACGGTTGGACTTGATGATGCTTGAGGTCTTTTGCAACCTTAACGATTCGATGATTCTATGAAAGAAAACTCACAAATGTGAACAAAGTAATGCAGCGGCATAGGTAAACAATTTGGGGGGCAGACATAAAAGTGAACTTCGAGACAGCCCTTGTCTGAAAAGTTCAAAAATTTACTCAAATTTCAATGCTAAATTGCAGTACCCATTACTTTTGCAGATGTGCTCCCACAGTTCTAAACAGCATCAAACGATTTATTAGAGTTCTGGGAAGCCTAACTTTTCTTATTCTTAAATTCCACAGTGAACCTCCATCACCTTGGAAGAAGCTGGGCTGCAGGAATGTGCTAAAACACAAGGGAGATGCTATTAATAAAGGCTATTTCCAAAATGTCAACTAAATTTTATCAAACGATGGTGCAAAATGGTCTGCTGCAAGGTTCAGGCTTTCTGACACTGTGTGTTACTGAGTATGTATGAGATAATGGATTGCCATGTGCCAAGTCTCAGCTCCATTTTTCTCCTAGTCATAAAACTAATCTTGGGAGTTTTTAGAGGATATGAAATAACCTACATATTGGAGCATGGTACATGCCTTGAGCAGTGGATTTAAAGCAATCTGCTTGTTGTATTTTTTGGTGCAAAATGATTATTTGTTATTCAGAGTATCTCAGTTCAGTGGTTTTATTTGGCTAAGAAGCTTAAAAGGGTGTACTCTTTCTTAGTTCTTTTAGCTGTAAAGTAACTACTGAGTTCGTGTTCTCCCTACCCACAAGTCTGTAGCTAATGCTAGCTGTGAGAAGGGGTGCATTGTCTTAAGTCACAGCTTTTCGCCCCTGAGCTCTGATCCCTTCCCAAGTGATGTACCTTGAACTTTCCTTTGAAACATTCCCTTCAAATATTCTCTAGGCTTGCTAGTAACTTTCTGTGTCCTCCGATGCACCAGAATATCCCCTTCCAAATGGCGTAAGCTCAGAGCATAAGCAAAGCTTGCATCTATGTAATCCACACTGAAGAATTTACTAATTTATGAATGGTGTCATCGTGTGCTGCTTACATCTCCAAACCAGAAGCTTAACATAAGTTGAACCCATATTGGTAATTTTATATTCAAGTCTGTCTAGAGTTCTTCTAAGGTATACAATAGTGAAATGTCTGCCGGCTACAAAAAGAAAGCTGGATCAGAAGAAAGGGGCGTAAATGAGACACCTAGGGAAAAAAAATCCTTAACGTGATGTGTATGTTTGAATCAGTGTTTTGTGCCCAGAAGGCGAAGGCTGCACTCAATGGAGCAGATATCTATGCAGGATGCTGCACACTAAAAATTGAATATGCAAGGGTAATGATTGGACCTTCTCTTTTAATTTTACTAGAAAAAGCCATATATAATCAAGACTTAACCTTTTTCACTTTTACTTTATTTGAACAGCCAACTCGACTTAATGTCATTAGAAATGACAATGATAGTTGGGACTACACTAAACCGTATCTGGGCCGACGAGGTAGGTTTTCCTATGTTATTGCTGTAGATGTTTGACTGTACTAATGGCAATCCTTTATAACGTGGTCAGGCTGTATGGCAATAGTCATTTCAAAGCAAGGCAGTGCTGCTGAAGGCTGTGTTCACAAGCCAGGAAATTAATCCTGAGCCTTAGTGCCCCCTACTGCCGTGTGCTTGAGCCACTTAGTGCAACAAGGAGCCCACACCTGCAAGCACTTCGCAGTTCTCAAGGACTTGCATTTCTCCAAGCAGCTCTCTCTCTTTGGAGGAGAGGAAACCTGGTACAGACTATTCCTTACAAACTACAAACTTGCACACTGCTTCTCCTTCGAAAAGGACTCTTTTCCCCTATGTTGGACGAGGCATTAAGAAGGATAGAGGACTTCAGCAGGCTGACTCTACACTTCATCATGCACCACATCGGCATCAGCAAAAAAACCAAACAAACAAAAAAGCCCTCTGAAAAAAACTCAGACTTGCAATTCACCTTGTCTGCATACTGCATGCACCACAACCACAAGTTTTTAAAGGAGGACACTTTCAGTACTTCAGATTTGTATGGGATGAATAACATGATAGACTGTACCCATTCTGTTCAAGTTTGTTTGTATGCTGGTCTTACTTCCCTTAAAATTACAACTGAAAAGTTGAAAACCTCCAAAACCTTCTTAAGAACCTCTCTTGTTGATACCATTGGCGTTGTAATCTTTTTATTACTTGCTGTATGTGAGAGTTGCGTTCAGTCTGAACAGTGTAAATATTGTCTAAGAATAGGGAGATTTAATCCTTATCTGTAGATAGTTGGAACTGAGCAGCGCAATACCAGACAGGTCCCCTCAGTTATATTTAAGTATTAAAATAGGGAGTTTCATAGTTGGTACAGGCATACTGTCTCTTGAGTACTCAGCTGGTGGAAGCTATGACCATATGTAAAGACAAACTGCTGTGTAGCCTAACTCCTGTAAAGTGTTTATTTAAAAAAAAAAAAAACAAAACCAAAACAAACTGTAACTATTGAGTGCAGTGTTCAGTAACTTCTGTACAATAATGTGTGCAATGTAAAGTTAGAAAAGTGAAGACAATGTGTCTAAGATAAGAGTATTTATCAAAGGCTATATGAGAACCAGGGATTTGGCTGTCTCAAGTGGTACACAATTTCCAAGTAATTCTGCAGAGACACTGGGCTTGTAAAACTGTTGTACAACTGAAAACTTAGGGCTTGAATTTTCAAAACGAAGTTCTTGTAAAAAGTTAACAAGGGTGCTACAGTATTGGTTGCAGCTTGTAGATTATGACTATTTGTATCAGGATTCAATTTTTTTTTCTCAAATTCCTGAGTTAAAAAAAGGGATTTTGTAAAAACTCAAGGGCAAGAAAAAGATCTGAAGGTTTGAATTTGAAAAATCTAAAGGATTAATTTGACCCTCTTGTGATGTTTGGAGGCTGACTTGTACCATTGTGCATCTAATTACATTATGTAATTGGTCTGCAAATGGATATGGCTGTTTGAACTAAATGTTCCCCAAGCTAGAGAAAACAGTGGAAAATGGAAAACTTAGGATAGGTATGACTTGCTCTTTCTCAAGAACTCTCTCAGTTTACTCTTTTGTTTTCCTTTTGTTACTTTGACAGCCTACATCACTACTACACATCAGAGGAGAAGAATTAGATTTGTATTTTTTATATATATATATCTCTATGTATCATGCTATATTGTATATAGCGTGGTTTTTCATTTACTGTGGCCCACGTCCCTTTACCTAGAAAATAGGAATATAAATTCTTGAAGAAACACTGAAATGTACTTGAGATAAAAGGCATTTAGAGCAATTTTGCCCATAAAATAATCCAGGACTTTTTTTTTTTTTTTTTCTTTTTTGAGGGAGAGTTTTCATATTTGTGCTTCAACTTACTTTTGCAGCAGCATTGTTTGTCTTTTGAACTTAATGTGACCTGTACTGGAGGGATCTGACTGCAGCAAACAAGATCTTAGCCCAAACGAATTTCATTCTGAGGACAGGATAATACATCCTTTCAGAATTTCACACACACCCCCTCAAATCTTAGGAAGGAAATGCATTTTTCCGATGATTTTTTTTTTTTTTTAAAGGAACTGGTTTTAGTTCTTTATGGTAACAAATTACAGACTTCCTCATAGCATTTCTCCACTTAAGTAAACTTCCTAACACAAGTGCCTGCTGCCGTGAACCCCTGTTGTATTAGACTGAACTGAAAAAATCCCGCATGACTTTTATTCTTGTTGCTTTTAGCCAGAAAGTTAGAACTGTAGTTTGGATAATTTCTTTTGGTGGCAATATCAGCATATGCAGTGACTCAAGGACCTGATTTAAAAACAAAACCAAAACCCAACAAACCCCAAACTTCAACTAGATTAGAAAGAGCCTTTCCTTTCAGAATTACTTTTAACACGGATCAGTTCTCATGTTTCAATGCCTGTTTGCACGAGTACTGGCATAGTTGAGGGTCTTTGTTCAAGGAAGGAAGGAACAAGTATGGGGCAAGGAGAGAGCAGTGGACTGCACTATCACAGGGAGGAGATATTTGGCAAACTCTGTTCTCCCAGAATTCTTCATTTGAAGAATGTAGTCCTTTACTATATTACTGTGTGCAGTTTCAAAGGATTTAGTTCCACAGAGTGGAATGATAAACTTGATTTTTCTCAAAGGCGATACCTGCATACAGGTTAGATGCTCAAAAATACCTGATATGACTGCCCATTTGCTTTCCAGAGCCCAGGACTAGAGCTGTCACCCTGAAAAGGGAATGGAAAACCAAAACCTGACAAAAGTAATCTTTCTTTTATATATTTGAAGGCATTCAACACTGTTCTCTCTTCAAGCTTGATTGCCAAAATAAATATCTGACTTGGAAGTTGTCCTCAAAATCCTGAGCAGAAAGGGCATGTGTTTTCATCTCCCACTGTTGTGTTGTCTAATGCGAATAGTTCCTGTTTTTCAGGGAAAATAACCTCCAGCTGCACTGGCCTGGAGTTGCCATTTTCAGCAGTCATACTTAAATTTCATGGCAAGTGGTGTAAACTGATAAATGTCTTGCCCCATCTTTTCAATGTGTCTTTTTTAATTGTGAGAAATCAATTGTTGCTTACCACAAAAAAAACCCCTGAAAATTAAGATTTTTCTTTGTCGTGCAGCATGGATCTGATCAGAAAATACAGCTTTGGCTGTGATGCATCCAGTAAAGTAGACCCCTTGCTTAACTTTATATCCTAGAGAACTGGGTTTTCTTAAAGGATTGACCGTTGATTAAATGCATTATTCAGTGATGGTTTTCCTCAGTTGAACTGTTGTGTGCTGCTGATAATGCAATAATGTACAATCCTTTCAGCACGCCCATAAATCGATAGGTGTTCTGCAAATATATATGTACACATATGTAATGCTCTCTGTTTACTGATTATGAAACCATGTAATACAGGTTGTTGTTGGCTTATGCTGAAACTTCTTGAAAGAAGCCCACTTTGAAAATGTGTTGCTGTTGAAGCTAATATTATGATTCAGGTACTGTCTTTCAAAAGTACTGCATTTCAAATTTGTTTTAAGAGACACATAGGTAAATCCTGCTGTATGGTGTTATCTATACTAATGTGTGGTGTCTGTTTACGAAAACTGTTGGGTATTTCCATAAACTTTAAATGTCTGCATCTCCTTATTGGCCACTGCCCCAAATCAACTTAAGTACAATTTGTTATACAGATGGCAGTCTTTTAATTTTGGTCTCCCAGGGCTACAGCTTGTGGTTTTTAGACGCATAATGAATGAGAAATTGTTTATAAAATTAACAAGGGCTCAAATTATTTTTTTTTTTGCTTCTTAACTAGAAGCTTTTGTGTCTTAACTGGAAAAATAAAGTGCATAGTTGTGCATACTAAGCTGTTTTCTTTCCTTTCCCACATGTTAGACAGAGGGAAGGGCCGCCAGAGGCAAGCCATTTTGGGAGAGCACCCGTCATCATTTAGACATGATGGTTATGGTAAGTAACATAGTATGACAGGTGCTTATGATTTCTTTACATGTTATGTGGAATTCTAAATATTCAGGCAATGCTTAACTGGACCCCTGCAGCACGAGTAGTGCACTATTGTGCTGTACGTCCGATGTCCACATTCCGAAAACGCTAGTGATTCACTGAAATGGACATTTATTGCCGTACCTCTTCCGGAGAGCAGCCGGCTCTACCAATCTATTCCTTGGAAGAACGTTTCCTTTCTGTTGCCATCACCCTAAGCAATGGATGGAAAAGGACATCTGTGCTGGGAAGGCAGTTTTCTTCTAGCAAATGGCAACATAGCTTGATGGATGGTTTGTTGCAATACAGAGCTCTTTGATGTTCTGACGTGCGAATCTGTGAATTGTGGGCTTTGCGTTTCTTCTCATTTAGCTAATTCTGAAAAGGGAGAGCTATGTGGCTGTGTAAGAATGGTATTTTGGAATTAGTGCTATAAAGTGCTGCAATTGGTAGCAGTGCTATCTGGAAAAGAAGATCTGCTGTCACTTTCATGTGTTGGACCAAGACCTCAGGGTTGAGAAACTAATGTCCTTGGTTAGATGTGACTTTTTTCGTTATTTACTCTTAACTGTCAGATGCAGTGTAATTTATCTTACCTCTTTCTTTGCAAATGTATTTATGATATTTTACAATGTAGGTTGTCCTTCTACATACTCTTTCCAAAGGTTCTTCAAATCTCAAGAGTTTCCAAGTTCCACCACTGATGATCTTTTTCTAATTTTTCTGATATACCCTTCTACCTTAAATAATGTGGCTGTCTCCTCCTTTACTACTGTCTCCCTCTCATTACTACTTTTTGCGGGGGGAAAAAAAAGACAAAAGGTCCTTTATATGTGTGAATTTCACATTATTTTTGTCTCAGAAGAACAGGAATCCTCTCCTTGGTATGTCATACTGATGTTTTCTATAAACAGAAATATTGCATACTAATATCTCTGTATTAAAAAAAAAAATTTTTTTTCCACTGGTCACTTTACCTGTAGTAGAAAATACGACAGCTTCATTTTGCATTAATGCAGAGGTTTAACTATTCCTGTTTCTTCCAAAAGAGCTGTTTGTAGAAAGGCATTCTTCTAACTTAATGTCTTGTCTGTGGAAAAGAGCTGTGTCATCTCCTCTCCTGATCTCTGGCTAAAAGTTCACTCCTCTTGGTTTGTTTTCCCTATTTTGTAATGTTCTTGGTGTCATGTAGCTCTATAAGTAGACATGGCAATATTGCTGAAAGTTTATTTTAAATATTTCTTCTGATAGGTTTATGTTCAAATATTTGTATGGTGCAGGGAAGTTACTGTTTTAATAATTACTGAAATATTTTTTTTCACTTGTGTATAAAAACAATACTGTGAAACAGCTCTTTCCTTCTTTGGTAATGTAAGAAGAGACCTGGAACATGAAATGAAAGGGAATAGAAGAGGGTTTTTTTGTTTGATTTTGGATTTTTTTGTTTGTTTGGTTGGGCTTTTTTAATTGGAAAAAGAATTAATGAAAACTGCTGTAACATTGTTGCCCTCTCTCCTTTAAATAGTATTACATAGTGGGCTTTAATGCATGATTAAGCAGTGAAACTTGTTTCAAACAGTATGAAAACATGGTCTTTCATCTCCTTAGGGTCACATGGTCCTTTGTTGCCCTTGCCGAGCCGGTACCGGATGGGGTCTCGGGACACTCCAGAACTTGTTGCTTATCCGTTGCCCCAGGCATCCTCCTCTTACATGCATGGTGGAAATCCTTCTGGGTCAGTTGTCATGGTTAGTGGGTTGCATCAGCTAAAGATGAACTGTTCAAGGGTCTTCAACCTGTTCTGCTTGTATGGAAACATTGAGAAGGTAAGGCAGAATTCATTAGAAACTTGAAAAGTACTGTAGTCCTTTTAATCATTTTGGAAAAAGCCTGCCTGAGGTGGGCTAAAAATATTTCATAATAACTTAAAAAATTCTTGGGCAGTTTGTTGCAATGTCCTTTTTTCCCCTCATCTATCTTAGGTGAAATTTATGAAGACTATTCCAGGCACGGCGCTGGTTGAAATGGGTGATGAGTATGCTGTGGAAAGAGCTGTCACGCATCTCAACAATGTCAAGTTGTTTGGAAAGAGACTTAATGTCTGGTAAATACGTTTTATCAGATTAGTAGTCTACCAGTGAGCAGATGGAAAGAGGTTGCAAACGAGCAATATCCCATTATTCTGTTAACATTGTTGGAGTTAACGATTTCCAATTTGCAACTATTATATATTGCAATTTTATTTATATATGGGCATTACATGGATTGGCTTTTAATAAACTGTATTCCCTAATGTGTCTTACCCATCCTTTCTACTTTTTTTTTTTTTTTAAGGAATGTGTCAAATACAACCCACCTTGTTCTTCTTCTGTTCCAAATTGTTGTAAAGGAATGTCAGCTCTGTTCTGGTTTGATCAATAATCTGTGTGCAAAGTAGGGAAGTCTTAATTATTTAAGAAACTTTTCACCATATGTGTATATATCTGTTCTTAAATCCCAGTGTTTCCAAGCAGCATTCAGTAGTTCCAAGCCAGATATTTGAACTGGAGGATGGCACGAGTAGTTACAAGGATTTTGCAATGAGTAAGAATAATCGCTTCACCAGTGCTGGCCAGGCATCTAAGAACATCATCCAACCACCGTCTTGTGTGCTGCATTATTATAATGTTCCGCTGTGTGTAACTGAAGAAACATTTGTAAAGGTAGGCAGTTGAAATGACTGTGACATTGGGGCTCTAGCCTAGCTTTACACTGTGCTACATTTTACAAGAAATTACTGGGATAGTTACAGCATAGCAACTGGAAGAGAACTGGTTTTTAAAATAGGTTTGTAGCCTCTCTATATAAAAGCTGCTGAATTTTCACAATTGTGGTTTTATTCTGTCCTTTTAAAATATATATAT